TGTTTATAAGAGATTGATAACTTCATGTGTCTCTATCACAGTTTTAAGCACTAAAAATAATGTTTTCATTATAATAACAGTTTAAAAAAAATCAACATTCCCGAATTGTCACACAAATACTGTTCTAATTTCAGTAAAAAGTCTAGAAGAAACCTCCAAAAGTAAAAAAGCAGATTGTATGGTCAAATGAATTTCCCTTAAATGTGTTGAAAAAAATTTTTTTGAGGAAGTTGCTTCATTTTGTTGGCTAAGTAAAGGCAAACCTCAAGATCAAGTTTTCAACATAAACATTGCTAGAATCTCACATGTGTACTCTAATCTGAGATGCTCAAGCATTGTGCCCTTCGGGAGAGGAACTTCTAAGCTATGTAGAAACTTCCACTATGGGGGATTTGTCAGAATCCAATCATCTGAAAGAGCATAATGAAATGCCAATGAAATGCCACTGAGTTGGCAGCGTCAGCATGCACAGCTGGAGCTACTTACAATTAATCTTGTATATATAAGAGATGCACGTGCCAAGCTGACACATCCTTTTCACTTCAAATCTTACACGAAGCTTCTGAGAGAGTCATATGAGGGAGAAAACGAGAAAGCGAGCTGCTTCTCCTGGTCCAGAGTGTGCGATACGTGGTCGTGCTGGGTTTCTCCCTTGCCCAGTGTTCTTTGGCTCCTTTGAGTGTTTGTATTGTTGCGAATTTCCTAAAAGAGCAATACGGTTGTGCAGCGCATCTTTCCCAGATGTGACAGCCTGAACACTGCTAGTCTGGGACGCTATGCTTTCCAGCTCGCATGATCAGTCACTTTGCCAGTGGCTCGAGGGGTGTGGGAGGACGATCTCCCTTCTCTCACACTTCCAGCCCTTCCTCCGGAGCCTAAGTGGGAGGTAAGAGTGAATCCCTCGCCTCCTGCTCTTCCGCGGGTCCCCAGCGCTCCCCGGATCAGCCCTCCCACTCCACACTGCCCCACCACTAGTACGTCAGCGATAGTGCAGATGATGCCGCTAACAAGGGCTCTGCCTGCCTGGTTAGCCTGGCCCAGCCTGTCGCGGTGGCTCATTTTGCATGATCAGACTCGGCTACGCGATTCAATTTGCGAAACGGCCTCCCAAGTTCATGGGTGCGTATTTCTCCAGCGTCAGCCCTGTGTCCACCCCTGTCTTACGAGAGGAGATGGCTGTCCTCCTGGCGAAAGATGCAAACTAACCGGTGCCTCCAGCCGAGATGGAGAGCGGGTTTTAGAGCCCTACCTCATCATACCCAAAAAGAGCGGTGACTACGGCCAATCCTAGATCTGCACTTTTTGATCCGCTGGCTTCAAAGGCTGCTGGCCAGTGCATCCCCTGGTCCATTCGTCCTTGGGATTGGTCTGCAGCAATAGACCTGAAGGACGTGTACTGTCATGTCTCCATACTTCCACGTCACCGTCAGTTTTTGTGGTTTGCATTTGAAGGTTGAGCCTGGCAGTAAAGAGCCTCCCCTTGGGGCTCTCTCTGTCTCCCCAGGTTTTCACCAAGCTCACGGAGGGTGCCCTAGCGCCCCTTCGGCCCGCGAGCATCCACATACACAATTATCTTGACTGGCTGATTTTAGCACTCTCGCGAGATCAATTGATTACGCACAAAGACAGGTTGCTTTGGCACCTTGAACTATTAGGGCTTCAGGTCAAAGACAGGGCATCTTTTTCTCGTGTTGGAGCTGGACTTGATCACTATGACGGCGCACCTCCCCAGAGAGCTCACCCAGCTGATGCTGACCTGTCTGAGACAATTCGACAGAGAAACTGCTGTCCCACTAATATTATTTCAGAGGCTCCTGGAACATATGGCATCCACAGCCGCTGTCTTGCCACTCGGGTGCTCCATATAAGACCGCTTCAGCATTGGCTCAACAATCGGGTCCCAAGAGACGCATGGCATGTATGGTCCATAGATGGAGCGCGGAGGACTTAGGTGACCTACTGATTAGGTGATTAACAGCATCACTTAGGCTAGAGCATCTTCTACGAGCCATACCTACGCCCTAAGGTGGAGTCTATTTGCTGTGTGGTATACTTTTCTCTGAGAAGGACCCCGAACATGCCAGATCAGTGTGATGCTATCCTCCTTTAGTTGGCTGGAGCTAAGGCTGTCCCCTCCAGACTGAGGGGTTTTTGTTATGATCATCCCCGCTCTGAAGACGCGATGGTGGCATGCTGGGAAAGCATTGCCTGATCATCCAGTTCCCAGAGGCGTGAGACATTGCCCTCTCATACCCACTTGGAGATCTCTCTTAGGAGAGGTCTGCTCGATCCACTACTCGATCCTAGAGTTTACTTAGTGCAATTTAAGATCCTCAAAAAATATATCTAAATCTGTAAAACTTCTTAATAAGTGTTATAAGTAAGGGCCAGGTACCACGTTGGAACACTGCACCTCTGGTGATTCAGGTGTGCTCACGCTCTTGGCTTGGCATAACTTCTCATCAGGGGCAAAGTAAGGTTTAATCAATCTGGCGCATTTAATAGATTCCCCCACAATGAAAGTTTCCAAATAGCATTGAAGTTCCCCTCCCGAAGGAGAGGATTAATCCCAAGATTAATTGTAAGTAGCGACAGCTATGCATGTTGACGCTACCAGCTACCATCTAAATTTACAGTTTAACATGCAAGCAAAATGTTTTATGAAATGATTACAAAGAATGAGATGTTTCTCTTGTTACTTTTTTTTCAGTGAGCAAAGAAATGAAAACTTGTGTAAAACTGGATAAAGAGCCCAGATAACAGCCTACAGGGTTGAAAAAAACTAAAAACAAAAAACATTTGTGCTGTAATCAGTATCTTAAAGGGGTGTTCCACTGCAATATCATATTTTAAAATTTAGTTGATATGTAATGTAGCTGTATGAACATAAACAACATATCTGAATGTAATACGCTCAAAATTCAATGCAAAGGGAGACATTGGCTTTTACAGAGTTAGCTTAGCAAAGCCTACAGCAAATGAAGTTTGCCATTTGCACAGAACTTGTTTTGTTTCTGTATTTGGGCTTCCAAAGGACACGACACAAAGAGAGAATTGCTTACCGTTTAATTTTAATTATGTTGCAGAGAATTTTAAAAAATATATATAGCTAGCATTTGACAAAGGACAGCTTCCAGAATCTCTCTCACTTCAGTGCTGGATTCGGCTAAAAACTCCTCATAGGAACAGCTCCAACCATAATAGACTAAGCTGTGAATTGTAAGCCATAACCTGTAAATAGTTTTTTTTTTATAATTGATTAATTACATGCAAACTTTGTAGTGTAATTTGTAGCAAGGACATAAACAAGGATGTAAACAACCAGAAATTCAGTTTGGCACCGCTAACAATTTAGCTACAAATTTATACTGTAATTCATTCATTCAGTGCTGTAAACACACACAATCTTCAGCTGCGCTGCAGTTTCTCTCTATGCAGTCGCTTTATCTTCTCAAATAACAAATTCGCGAAAGATATGTGAACATTTTATATTACTTACACATGCAAGTTCCCCATTTGGCAAACCCTAGAGAACTCCTCTGAGGCCAGTGGAGAAGCTGGGTACCTGGCTCAGTATGATGTCTGGTATGCCCACTTTGGTCTAGTCATATGCTGGGGTTTAGTGCCAGCTATGCGCGGTCTCCGATGGCGATTCCATATGCTTATTTCCACCACGGAGTGTTTCCCCTGACCGGGCGGATTCGTGTCTTCCCTACCCGCTAAACAGCTTATTATATGTAGCACTCCCCTTCCATAGGGCTAGTCAATGTGTTCTTATTGCCATCAAGTGTCCCCTCTTGAGTAGCAGGTTGCCTCAGCAGCATCCTCTCCCTTCGGGGACTGGCATGCTTTCCCAATGTACTGTTGTATTCTTAAAACCCCTACACTATATTTGCTAGGTAAAATCATATTTACAACCCTCCATCTATAATCTTGTATTAATCCTATGTAATGGTAATAAAAGGGCCCAGGGGACGTTGGAATGTTGCGCTCTTGGTTATGCTTGTCCACTCATGCTATGCTTGGCAAACTTGACATCAGGGGCGTGACAGGCTTAGCTGCTGTGACGTTTTCCATACACACTTCCATATGTCTTTACAAGAGACTTGTTGGAGTTCCAATAAAGGGGAACGTCCTGGTTACATATGTAACCCACGTTACCCGTTACCCTCTCCACTGCCACAGCGGCTGAGTCTCCAGCTGTTAGCTGAGTGTTCAGCTCTTCAGCAGGCAAAAATCTAAATGCTCGTTTCTTAGTCATCAGTTGATATACTCTGGTAATGACTAACGCTGACACCTGTGGAGCTGAGCTCTGCCAATTCATTTTGGCATTTCATTGGCCTGTTTTCTTACTCTTTAAACTGATTGGTCGTCTGGCGAACACCCATACTGTATGTCTTTACAAGACACACCTCTCCATTCACTATTTGGGGAACGTGGGTTACGTACGAAACCAGGACGTTTCTCCTGTTCCAACGTCAGCGGCAGATGTGAATGAATGCCGGAGGAAAGTAGTTCCTCATACTGAAGTATTTTTTAAACTCTCTGTGTTTGATTTTCTTTTTTATATACATTATTATGCTGTTGAACTGTTGTATAAATATAATATCCCACTCGTAGCAGTGCAATATGGCTGTATATTTTCACTGGTGGGACACTGAGGCACATGGCCTGCAGCCTTGTGGCAACGCACACCTCCCACCATTGGTGATACACAGCCATATTGCACACACACACACACACACACACACACACACATATATATATATATATATATATATATATATACACACACACACACACACACACACACACACACACACACACACACACACACACACACACACACACACACATATATATATATATATATATATATATATATATATATATATATATATATATATAATAGTGTTTAGTTTAAGTGCTGCAGTAACTGCATATGGGATTGAACGCTAACATACAACTATTGATGCATTATTAAATCTGAAGCATTTCTC